GTGCGCCGCAATGCTGCACTTCCGTGCGGCAACTGCCTCTGTGTGTGACGCCGCCGCATCCTCCACGTCCTCGCCTCAGTCGTTGGCGCCTCCTGCTGCCCCGTATGCGGGGCGGGTGGGCGACGCCACAGTCGGACCGTACGAGCGCTTGGTGGGGATAGAGTTCCTCGGCTCCTGCTGCACCTCCGTGCGGCTCTCTGCGACGCTGTTTGCATCAGGTATGCCCAAGCGGACATCTCCTGCGGCCGCAAGCGAAAAGGAGGCCGATGCAGCAGAAGAAGCATCAGCAACACCACGAACACCCCCGACAGGTGATAGAGAAAGTAGCCGGGAGGAGACATCCACGGTGGTTTATTTCTTCATGCTCCTTATAGCCTCTTGTAACGGGAAGGACACGTCCATTGATGCCGTTCGGTGTGCCTTTCGCGAATGTAATGATGACACTGACGACACCAGCAGCAATGCGGAGACAAATGACCCTGCCACATGCAGGCAGGAGCAGAAGAAGCAAGAGGCGTTACCATCCTTTCCTGGGGAGAAGATTCTTGACCGTGAGCCGGACCTCCTGCTCCAGCAGGTGTGGGAGAAGCTCGGCAGCGCAGGTTTGCCGAGTGGGTGGCACGGCGGTGACAGGACGCTGTCAACCCCACACGCGCCGACCTCGTCGTGCTGCTGTGGCACAACGCCGTCAGGCTTTATTGCCCTGGACCACACCCCGCTGCTGCTGCACGCGGGCGTGCTCGACATTGTGCAGGCAAGCATGACGATAACAGCAGCAGCGATACTGGAGGGGGAGAGCGCTGTGTCATTGATCTTGTCCTCCTCAGCGACGGTGCCACGTGAAGTGTTGAAGGAAGCAAGCTGCGAGAACGTTATGTTGTCTTTTACGGAGAGGCTCGACACGCAGACGGCGTTGGCGGCGATGCCAGACGGCCAGCGGCGCCCACGCCGCTCCTTCGCGAGCCTCCGGCGCTTCTTGCAGCGGCTCCAGCTGAAGGGCGTAGGTGCGTCCATGGTATCTACAACACTATCAGAGGCAGCAGGGTCATTAGATGTGGCGCCGTACCGCTATTTTGTGTGGCTGCATGTTGTCGGAACGGACATTTTTCACGAAGCAACCGTCACGGAGAACATCGGGGTATCAACGCCAGCACCAGTGAGGTCGGCCAGCTCGCTATCCTCATTGGGCCAGACAGTGCGTGCGGCACCGTCTGGCGGCGCAGGTTTCGCAACGACGCCACCCTCACTAGCAGCAACAACAAGAACTGTGGTTGAGAATGAGGAAGAAGGGAACGATGTGGATTCCCACGTAGGGGGGCCGTCGGTGACACGTGTCGTGAAGGGTGCTGTTGCGCGGCTCCCCGCCAACGGGTATTGCCAGGTGGGTTATTTCCTGCGCTGCCAAAGGACTGGAGCGGCACAGAAGCGCAAAGGAGCGACCACAACATTCTACTGGCTCTCCGCCTGTGACTACTCCCGCCAGGGGCTGCAGGTGAAGGAGGTGTCCTACGTGGCGGGCGGAGACGCGTCATCTGGCGCCACTGCAGTCCGCTTGGTTTCCTCTAAAAAAGATTCACACACAAAATACGACCCTATTCATCATGAGCAACAGCAGCATCCATTGGAGTTTTCCTTTGGCAAGGTGGAGGTGCGGTCTGCCGCCCAGTGGAGCCTCGCGCAGTACCCACAGTGGCACCACTGGGACCCCGTGACGCAGCGACTGTCCTTCTGGGCTGCCTTTCACACGTACGACAAGTTTCGCATTGTTGCCTTCAACGGCCACCCTGACAGGCGCTCCTGCGAGTTTGAACGCAACCTCCCGCGTCGGCGTCGCTTACTTTACACGGGTCATTGTAAGAACAATTTTACTACTACTACTACTACTACTACTACTACTACTAATGATGATGATGATGATGATGATGGCAGCGGGGATGGTCTGTCTGGGGAGGCTGTCTATGTGGAGCGTGGCTTCGGTGTTTCTGGTCCACCCTCTGGTGGCAACGGCGGCGGCTCTGCACTTGTGGAGCCGTGTGGTGCCGCGTGCTGCTCCGCTGTACTGCGGCTCAACATGTGCCTTGTGCCGGTGCAGTACGAGGACGGCGTGCGGGACTCGGTGCTGTGTGAGCAATTGTTTCTCTCACCAGCTCAGACCACCGCAGCAGCAAGAGCAGTGGGTTGTCCACCGGATGTAGCGAGAGAAGGCTCTGGTATAGACGGCAACGTGACCCTTGATGTGTGGCGTGTCCGTGACGACGAATACGATGACGATGCCAAAAACAACGGCAGCAGTCATGCACAGCTGCAGAAGCAACCGTCGGAGGGGCCACATTTGGAAGTGGACGACCAAGGCACGGCTTCAGGAGGCCTCAAACCAATACTACAGTCGATGCGATCGAATAGCATTTCCCCCGCAACGTCAACTGCCTTGATGGGCCCACCAGCGGTTCTCTGCAGAATCACAGCCCTTCGCAACTACGTCGACGCGGCGCAGATTACGATTCCCCTCACGCCTGACGAGTGCCGCCGCATCACCCACGAAACGCGTGTCTCTTTTCTTTCCATGAACGGCATGATTGCCATTTACCTTCCCGGTATCTTTGTGCACTACGTTGATGTCCATCACAAGGATGCACCCCCGCGTTATTTGTTTGGTGTGCGTCTTGCCCACCCTCAACTCGCTAACAATGCCCAATTATCACCACCATCATCAACCACCGCTGCACCAGCAGCATCAGTAGTAGTAAAAAACACACCGCTGGTGTCGCTCCTGCCCGTCCCGCTGGGGCGATGGCTCTACGTCCCGGGAACTGTGGTGCTTTTTGAGGCGTCGCTTCGCCCTGCCTCCGTGTGGCGGTTTGTGCGCCGCTGGCTCACACGCCGCCGGTCGTGCCGCGTGCTGGCGTCTGGTCCTGCTCCTGCTTCTGCTGCCGCCACCGCACCCGCCTCTGGAGATAACGGTGGCGTGGAGTGCGGCAGCAACAGTAACAACGGCACAAACGTTGAGCAGCCGCTGTGTACGTTCCCTACACTGTCCCTTCCTGTTGTTCACGACAGTACCATGATGAATCCCGCTGTGATTGCTGCCACACTCGACCCCGCGCCACTGCACAACGCCTTGCATGTTGCCCTTACACACCTGAAGCCACCGAGTGCCATCGAGGAGGAGCGCACTATGGGCCCGCTCTCGCCATCGTCGCCTTCGCCGCCATCGCCCTCGCCATTTTTGCAGCAACAGCAACATCCTGCATCTTTGACATCACCGGGAAGACGCTCGTCGTCGCTGGCGTCATCGTGTCTGGAGTGGGAGAGGATTTGGGCGGTGCGGGACGCGCAGCTGGAGTGCGTCTTCCGTGAATTCCTCAGCATGGATCTTTGGCGTGATCTCTCAGTGGAGTTTATTTCGGCTCTGGTGATTGGCGAGGCGTACGAGCGCACACGCGCCGCTTGCCATTGGCGCCCGNTTTCGACGTCGAGGAAGTTATTTGGTGACGATGCCTCTGGCAGTGCTGCTGCTCCTGCTGCTGTGACGCCATGCAATCCGTACTTTGTCTGCCTTCCGCTGTGGGACGTGGCGGGTCTCTCGTCGGAGGAGGCACGTTACCGCGGCGATGTGGCGCGTTACTACCGCGTCTGGCGGCAACAACAGCAGAGGCGGCAGCATGACAAGGGGGGCACGCGGCACGCCGCCTCCATAAGTGAGTTCTTGCAGAAGAACACGTCCAGCACCGAGCGCGATAGTCTAATGGCGCTGGCGAGTTCGCAATCGCCGACGCTGGGCGCGCTGCCACACCAGCAGCTTCTCGCATCGGACGTGTCGTCGTCGTTGTTGCTTCGCGAGCCGCCCAACCCTGCGTCGTTCATGCCGCTCCATGAGACGCTGAGGAGCAGCGCTCTGTCCGCGCACTCCCGCGAGTCGTCGTGGACTCTACAGCCGCTCGAGCGGCGGCTCGCCAACGCCCGGCGCCACAACGAGAGGAAGCGCAAGGCGGCGTGCCTATCTGCGTTACTCGTGCACGCCGTGAGTCTGCGGGACGCCGCGCTGTCGAGGCAGCAGTGCCACAACACTGTCCCGGAGTGGTGGCTGTGCCGCGGGGTATGTGTGTGCTCCCCAGGCGCACCGCTGTCCTCACGGGTGGCGCCACACACACGCCTGCTCTTCACATCGTCCTACCCGACAGGTAGTGACATATCAAGCAGAAGCAGTGGCAGCGCGGCGAAGAGCATGTCACTGTTGCATCGCTTAAAAGGCGCTTTTCTCAGCAACTACCATGGTCACAGAAGTGGTAGTAGCAGCAGCGACAAAAGCACCAGCAACAACTCGGCTTTTGCTGCTAATATTGCTGCAGCGGCGTGTGCGCCGTTGTCGAGCTCCTCAACGGCCGCTTCCATGAGACCGGTGGCTCGCATGTCGCTTCTTGCTGCATCCATGGCCCTGCCTGCGCGAGGCGAGACGGGCCGCCACACCGCGGGTCAAAGTCGAAGTGCCAACGCCAGCCTGCATGACAGCAACTCAACCACTGGCGCCTTCACTGCAACGAGAGTAGGCACCGCTGCGGGTGCATCCAATGCGCTGAGTGGGAATAGCAGCGACTTCTCCGCCTTGTTCGCGTCGACGCCACACGCGCACCACAGCCACGACGTCTTGTCAGGCGGGATTAAGTGTGATGGCGCACCACCGTCGCCACCCTTGTCCTCGTGTGCGCCGAAACAGGGCAATGGCGTGCCGTTTGACGGACCATCGTGTGGGACACTGTTTGCCGAGGCAGTACTGGAGCAACTCCGGCTTGTGGCATGCCCCTCCTCCTCCTCCTCGGTCTCTTCCACGAAACTGTCGCGGAAGTCACCGGCAACGGACGTGCAGGTGCCGCAACAACAACAACAACAACAACAACACCAGCACCAACAGGTAAAGCAGAAACATCAGCAGCAGGAGCAGCAGTGTGGGATCTCGGGACGTCGTGTCTCTGACTCGTGGGTGCGATCGCGTTTCTTGACCCCCGCTTCCGCGTTGTCCTTTGCCTCGTGGGCCATCGCGTGTGCGACGTCGACGACCGGCATCGCGGCGCACTTGGCGCTCTTGGCAGTGCTCTACGACGCCGCGGTCGCGTCGGTTGTTCACGCCCTCGTGCGTATTGCGAACCTGCCTTTGTCTCCTCAATGCTGTCGTCCTACCCATCCGCCTCCACAGGAAGGAGCAGCAGCAGCAGCCGGAGGTGATGCCCACCCTGAGGCCGCAGACGCGGACGGCGGTGCGCGTGCTATGTCGCTGGCGCGTTGGGGCTTTCTGCAGCGTCTCGCGTTGGCGCTTGAGCGTCTTGGTGTGCCGCCGTCAGTGGAGCTGACAGAGAGTATTGTACGAGAGGGGGTGCAGCGCCTGCCCATACACGTGTTTATTGCGGGCCAGCGCAGTGGCGCACTCGACGGTGCAGACCTGCCGCTGCTGCTGCGCCACACGCCGGCGTTGGCGGCGGCGGTGGGGGGCCACGT